TAATAAAAAATTCCAACCTAGCCCCCCACCTAAACCTATTATCGAGAACAGCATTCCTCAATCCCAACAAATCCTCAAGAGCTGACCTAGTTATTGAGCTTCGGGGCATATATGCTCCAATGTCATCTGCGCAAACTTTCTGGTACGCCAAAACCCACAGCTCAAACCTCCTCAAATAATCAGTGAGATTAGTCACTGTTTTTTCTGGTTCACGGAAACTCTGAATCCACATTTTGCTACAAATTGAGACCCCATCCTCCTTCATCAAGGTAGCTGGATCATTCGGATCCCATTCCTTTCGAATGCGTGTAGAGGTGTGTACAAATTCTCTATATGTAATAAAACCATTGTTGCTTATAGAGTTGAATGTGTTCAAAGGGTGCGCCACTTCAGCATATCTTCTCTGTGTTAAAACAGAAGAATTTGATAACACCTTACGACTGAAGACTATCAACTGCTGGCGCATCATAATTTGAGGAAATGGAAAACGTAGTCAAAACTTTGCCACATCTTCTTTGTTACCTTTCTTCCTAAAAATCAAAACACACAAAAATCGTCATCTAAAAGAATGTGCAATTCACTATGCATTGTGTGATATGTTCCACGATGTTCAAACTAAATTTGCCTATAAAATTATTCCGACCATGAGAACCTAACCATGCATTGTGAGCAGGGCCGGTCCAATCTTCATAAAGGCACTGTATATTTGTCAAATTTAAATAAATTTAAATTTGAATAAATTTCATATCAATTATTATCTTTGTTTATAATGAAAATATTACTTATAAACTAAAAAAATTCCATGAAAAAGCTCACACAAAAAAGAGTCATTAAATTTGTACATTTAATGCAAAACAATTAATCAATTAATAAATTTATCTTTCTTATTAAAATTTCACATTCAATTGATATCAAAATACAATGAGTGTTGTGTGTTCTATTACTTCTATCAAATGTAAATCATTTTTTAAAATAAATTTCATAAAACTGAACACTTTAATTGATTTATTTGCATAGAATTGAATAACTTTTAGAAAAATTCAACTTTATTAAACAATTTAATATATTTCCGAATATTTAATTCTAGTAAACAATTTAATTAAGTTTAGACAAATTACTAATTACTCCCTCTGTCCACCATAGATCTTCCCAGTCACTATTCACAGGGTCAAACTTCACTCACTTTGTTTGCTCATTTTTACTAGTCATTTCATAAAATAATATAGTCTTGTCACCTCTAGTTTTGTAGAATTTTTCATGTAGTTTATTACTATATAAATTTTATTTTAAAATTTTACTCCTATAATCAATTAAATTGAATTAAAAATAAAGTCGGTCAAGCCTTGTAACGCGTAATGGGAAGATCTTTGGTGGACGGAGGGAGTACGGTAGAAGATGGAGGAACTCAAGGACACAAAAAAAAATATATGAGAAATGGAAAATAAAATAAAAGGATTAGAACACAGCAAAAAAACATTGGATGCATTCAATGGTTCAGAAAGGGAAGAATAAATCGAGTAAAAAATCGAAAATCACACCTGGAGAATAGCGGGCTCAGAAATGGGGAAAATCTGAAATAAGAATCGCCGCCGTGTCGATGAATCCTTAATCGATTGGCCTCCTCCCTCCCTCCGTCCGGCCGGCCGTCCCTGAGCCTCTCCGTTTTGCAGTCGTCTTCACTTAGCAGTAGCAAGGGCGCATGGCAGCTCGGGCCAGGACTCAGGAGTGTTCTTCTAGAATATTGGGCTATCACTTCTTCATAAAGAATATTGGGCCCTCAAATTTGTCTGGACCGGGTGCAATTCGAGATATGCTGCACCGGCCCAAAGGGCAGCCTTGTTCGAACTTCGTTTACACAACTGGATACACTTATGTGTGTGTGTTCCATTTAGATTTTGATAGATTGTTTAGAATGTGTGGATTATATATAATCTATGGATTATTTTAATTCTATGCAGAGTTTGATATATTTTAACGTAGCATGATTTTTATAGATTTTATCGACTTGTTTAAAAATTGAAATTTGCTCTAAAAAATAAGAAAACATGTCTTTTTTTAATGTAGCACTTGAATTTTTTAATTTTCTAAATAGTACTTAAATAATGTCAAGTAGTGGGAACAATGTCTAGTGATAGTGGACTTTCAGTTTGAACAATGTCCAGTAGGCACAGACGGTGGATGTTTACTTGAACAATGGCCAATTAACATTGAACAATGCTACTACATTGTGAAATAAAAACATATGGTATTACATTGGGAAAATGTCACTATATTTTAGTAATACTTAGGTAAATTTCCCTTTGATAATTAGTTGGCATCAATAAGGGTATGTTTGGTTGGAGGTAGGTAAGAGCTTTATTAGGTAGGTAATGGTAGGTAATTGAAGATAGGTAATTGAAGGTAGGTAAAGTAAGGTAATGAGTTAAAAAATAGGAAAAATTACCCAAAATAATCTCAACTTTACTCGGTTTTTCAAAAATAATCTCACTTTTCACTGTGATGCATAATAATCCCAACTTTACTGAAATTTGCCAGTTTTGGGTCGCCGTTAAGTTTCTAACGGAGGGATAACGGAAATGCCCGTTTTAGCCAACAAAATGAAAGTTGGGATTATTTTTGATGAATTTTTGTTTTTTAATTTTTTTTGAAATTTTTATTTAAATTTTTTGAATTACTTTCAACCTCCATTTCTTTTTCTTTTTTAAAGATTATTCTTACCTTAGAAAAAAATAGATATAAAAAATAATGAAAATGAGAAAAATAACTAAAACCATTCAAAATTAATCAAATAAATAATGTAATCAATATAAATTAAACAGAAACTGGTAAGAAATAAAATAAATATATATGGAGTCGTGGGTTTAACATTTTACACACTATACGGAGTCTTAATGTACTACTTATTTTTTAAAAGAACAAGCCGTCCGGTAAAGTTGGAATTATTGTAGATAATTTTTTCTAAAAAATAAGAAGTGATATGTTAATGCTTTGTATAATGCCTAAAATATTAAAACCCACCCGTATATTTTTATTTTACTTTTNAAAATTTCAAAAAAAATTAAAAAACAAAAATTCATCAAAAATAATCCCAACTTTCATTTTGTTGTCTAAAACGGGCATTTCCGTTATCCTTCCGTTAGAAACTTAACGGCGACCCAAAACTGGCAAATTTCAGTAAAGTTGGGATTATTATGCATCACAGTGAAAGGTGGGATTATTTTTGAAAGACCGGGTAAAGTTGGGATTATTTTAGGCAATTTTTCCTAAAAAATAGTGTTTGGATGTTTTATTAGGTAACGTGAGGTAGGAAAATAATAAAATTACTAAAATATCCTTGTGCTTTGCAAATATATATACAAAATTATATTTACATAAATTCTAAACATTTTTTATTTAATTTATTAGAATTCTAAAAATTTTAGCATAATTCACGTTAATATGTAAGAACTCAAATCACTAGCACCAAGTCCAGATAATTGCAAAAAAACAGAGTACAATAACAAAATTGCAGAAAACCAAGTACAATAACAAAACTACAAAAACAGAGTATTCAAAATTGCACAATTATAGAAAAAAACAGAAAAAAGTAACCAGAAAAAGCACAAAAAAGGAACAGAAAAAACCACAAATAAGAAACAAAAAAGAATGAAAATTAAGTAATGATCAAATCGGCTATGAAAAAAAGTGAAAATTGAAGATGGCAGGTCTAAAACTATTATCAAACCGCAGAGATGAAAATTGAATATGGCAGATCTAAAATTGCCGATCTAAAATTGGAGTAATGATCAAACCGCTGAGATGAAAATTGGGAAAAAAAAAGGTGTAAATTGAAGTAATAATAAAAAAAAGTGAGGTGGGCCGAAAATGCAGTGCATGGGTGAAGATGACGGTGCAGCTAAATTTGATCGGCTGAAAAAAAATGTAAGCACGGCCGAAATACCTGTCTTGGATGGCGATCGGGTGAAGATGACGATCCCTGCTCTGCGAACGACGGAAAGGCTTTACCTCCCTCCATGTTTCGCCGGTCATCTAAAATCCACTGTTCAGAGGTAATCCTACATCACTCTACCTCCCCTTACCTCTCTTGACCTATCTCACTTTTTGTCACCAAACAAGGTAGGATATTAAATCTACCTTCAAACAAACACAGTGTAAAGAAAAGAAAACATAGGAGGTCATGAAAAAAATCTACAATTGAAAAAAATCTACCTCCATTGAAATCTACAATTGAAAAAAATCTACCTCCATTGAAAACAAACACCCTCTTATTTTACTCAATTCTGAGGGAGAAATTAATCCCATTTTTCAATGGTATGTACTCCGTGGTACTGAGTATAATAAGTTCACCTTTTCGTGTGCTTGTGAGCCTTGGGTTGCTGTTAGGAACATAACCGTGACCTAACATTTTGATAACTTTTGCTTATTTATGTTTTTATTAACTATAGAATATTTGATAAAATTAAATATTTTTATCAATTTTTGTTTTGTAAATATTTTGATGTAATTTTTTAATGTATGAGGTTTATTCTTTATTTTTATACCAAATGTTAAATAAAATAATTCCAAAAAACATAAAATTTTGCCTTGTAATTCAAAAGAATTGTAAACTAGTTTGGAATAGAGAAAGTATTATTAACTAGTCAATGTGTTTCAATTTAAGTTGTTTGTTTACTATTCATATGTTTATATTTTAACCACGTTCTTTATACATATTTCCTATCCATTTGAAAAGCTAATATAATCTTGTCACATCTTATTTTATTTTGATATAATTATAATTATGTACTATTTTTCAAATAAATTAAGATGAAGAAAATACTCCGTACTATGTTTTATTCTAAATTAGTTTTTTTTAAAATTCTGTGAATTTAATTTTTAAATTCTATATCAATATTTTAACAAAAATATAATTTTAATCAAACTCTTTTTTGGAAATATGAAGTGGAGAATTGGAGAGGATGCTAAACAACTGTACCATGAAGGTACACATGAGATTTAGGATGCCACGTGGCAATTCAATAATCCAATTCCTTTATCCATCAACATTCAAGATAAGCCCCCTCCCAATTCACATCCTCAGTTCGACCCTTTCTTCCTTCAATTCAGAATGGCGGCTTCCGTCTGCGCGTCGCCTACAATCGCCGCCGTGGCTCTCTCTTCCACCAGGCAAGTCCGATCCGACCGTTTTCCATGTATTTCGTGTTCGAAGAACTCATACGAGCTCGAATTTTTGTCTTGTTTTTTTGGGAACTAATTGCAGTTCCCGGTTAAAGGCTAACAATCCTTTCCTCGCCGGGAGAAGAGTGGAGACGAGAAAGTTAGCTGCTCCGGCCGCCACGTCGTCGAGATCGTCTACAGTGCGTGCGGTGGCGGCCGATCCCGGCAGACCCATCTGGTTCCCTGGCAGCACCCCTCCTCCCTGGCTTGATGGCAGGTTAACTAGTACTCTCTATATCTCAAATTAAGTTGCCTTTTAAAAAAAATTACCATCTTAATACTTTTTCTTCCTAATTTTGTCAAACTTGTAAGATAAATAGGATCCTATTAATAGTGGAAATGAATTTCCAAATAGTTACTATGATTAAAACATGTTTCATATACCAAAATAAGACCTTTAATGTTTTTATACCAATATGATAGGACATAATGTCAAAACCATAATGCAAAAAAATGGAGTACATTATAATGTCAATACACGATGCCAAATTGCGGGTGATTTAAAGTGTTTGCACTCCTATTTAGGAAACAAAAATATGGGAGATCTTATTTTTGTATCAAAAATATTTGTTATTAATTTTTTCTTTTTTCATACACTACAAATTATGTGGTATAAAATGCTTGGGGTACACCATTCCAATGGTGTCAATGGTGTACCGTGTACCCCTAACATTTTTCTAAGTTTCATGCTTTAGTCTTATTTAGATAGATTTCTTCAAATTAAATGCTACAACCATCATTCCCGATGATGAGACCTTTTGAGGTTATTTGACACTGTTTTCAGTGGTTGATTCTAAGTTTGATGATCGGCTTAACTCTCGAAGTTTAGAAACATCCCTCAAAGGTTACGTTCAATGCATTATAAATAGTTAGTTACCCAAATGTGTACGACAATTCGTTATAAATTTGATTACTGAACTGTTTGTAAGACTTCTTGTGTTACAAAGTACAGAATATATTGTATAAGAATGATATTCCTTTGTAATGATCTCTCTACCGTGCAGCCTCCCTGGAGACTATGGTTTTGACCCTCTTGGTCTTGGTAAGTAAACTTCATTATGTATCTAAGCTCATTACCCTATATAGTGCCCGTTTGGAAACAACTTCAGTGTTTTGAAAAGGCCATATATGTAACTGCAGCATTTAGCTTTCATGTTTTCAAAGTGGAATCTACACCATTAAAAAAGACGGAATAATCCAAAACACTAACGTCAATCAAGAATGTTGTTCCCAAACGAAGCAATAGTATTTGAAACTGAAATGTTTTAGCAATTTAACCATTGTGAAATACCAGATCATGATCAAGGCGACATGGTTCTGTCTTTAATATTAGCTAACACTTTGATTATTCTTACACACGTACACACAAACACAAACAAAGAGAGAGAGAGAGAGTGTAATATATCCCATTGACATTGTCATGGCTGTATCATTGACGACAGCATCTGATCCGGAAAGCTTGAGATGGAACCAGCAGGCAGAGATTGTGCATTGCAGATGGGCAATGTTGGCCGCGGCGGGCATTTTCATCCCGGAGATGCTCACAAAGGTTGGGATTCTGAACACTCCTTCGTGGTACACCGCCGGCGAGCAACAGTACTTTGCCGACACGACGACTCTCTTCGTCGTCCAGCTGGCACTCATCGGTTGGGCAGAGGGGAGGCGGTGGGCAGACATAGTGAAGCCGGGCTGCGTGAACACGGATCCCATCTTCCCCAACAACAAGCTCACCGGAACTGACGTGGGTTATCCGGGCGGGTTATGGTTCGACCCGCTGGGTTGGGGAGGCGGGCCCGGTTCTTCCCCGGAGAAGATCAAGAAGTTGAGAACCAAGGAGATCAAGAATGGGAGGCTAGCCATGTTGGCTGTCATGGGTGCATGGTTCCAGCACATATACACAGGAACTGGACCTATTGATAACCTCTTGGATCACCTGTCTGATCCTGGTCATGCCACTATTTTCGCTGTAAGCACAACCACTCTCATCACTCTAGCAACATAGACACACACACACACACACCCTTTGGGGCTAACTATGGTTGTGATTCTCAAAGTGGATTGTCTGAATTCAATTTGGATTATACTACAGTCACACCACAAATGACATCAAGATTTATACTACTAGTGTCTCACAGACAGTGACAGTCCGTGTGTGATTGTGTCCGTGGTGGTGACACCACGGATGACATCAAGATTGACACTTTTAGCTTTCTAATAGTGTTTCACAAACAATGATGTTTTCAGGCTTTCACCTCCAAGTGAAGCTGGATGGGAGAAGCCATCAAAGAGATCATCTTGTCGCATCGGAGAACGCGGCGTCATAATCAGAGCAAGAAGATGACAGCTATGATAACAATGGTGTTCTTTTAGACAATGAAATCTGGTTTATAACATATTATTATGCTGTGTTTTGTACAAATAAAAGTACTCTATATATTATACAAGTATAAATTAGAATATACTCCCTCCCACCTTACCACCTAAGTATATGTGGTTTAAGTATATTTTCACTCCATAATTTGATCATACGATGAAATTACGTTTGGTCGCCCAAATGTGATCCCAACTTTCTCAAGAACACATCAAATATTATGGAGTAAAAATGTTCTTTGTATGTGACACTCTCTACCGGTCCAACCCGGATTTTGTACACCCCTATCTAAGATAGACCCGTTTACACCAATATTTAAATAAATTAAATTAAAAATAATTTCACATTAAATATCATAAATCAAAATGAAACAAAAAACCATGACACTGCGGGAGTAGAATATTACTCTGTATATTTAATTATATGATTACAATACCTATTTTCAAAACTTTAACCTTCCCAAAAAAATCAACTCGTGTTTATATTTAGGACTAGGGATTTTCATTTGTTCAACACAAGATTTGTTTGGGAATAACATTTATGGTTAACATTAACATTTTAGATATTTGTTTAAAGATGCAAATAAACATAAAAAACTAACACTAAAAGCTATTGGTAGGTAATATTTTCAAATCTAATGCCAAACATATCCCAATTCCCAAGTCAAAAAAATATCTTTAAAAGTGCTCTTACCACGCTAACACACATTAAAGTTCACATGTCTTTCTTGGGCTAAGTTGGATGCTCTTTTACAAATCTTCATTTTGCATTCCAAAAAGAAATGCATTATCTTTTTAAAAAGGTGTTATAATGCTTGTATCAAATTTGCAGAACAAACATTTGAAGATCATCTTATTAGGCATATGAGACATAGTTAACATCAAAAGGTAACTTCATTTTACTTTTTGTAGTTCACAGGATACTTCTACTACTGTTCTTGTTAAAGTTAAATTGCACAAAGAATCACAAGAAACTCCAGTTAAAGTGAACTCCACACACAAATGCATATTTTACCAAATGGATTCTATCCTTCAGTTCAAACAATGTTGGGTATATATGGTTTGCACTTCTGCAAAAAAATTTGCTGATTTTTGAACCACAGTCCCACGTTCCATCGGTTCTAAGATCAAAATCGCGTCTTTTTCAAAAATGCAAACCAAAGTAACCAAATATCAACAACAACAACAACAAAAAGACCAAAACTTCAATCACGAGGCAAACCAGCAAAGTATAATTGGCAGCAGATCTTACTGGTTCTTCCCAATGACATAGCCATAAGCTCATCTTCAACTCTCCTCAGTGCTCACATTCCCACAAACATTACACTCCATTAATGTTGATGGAGATGCATGAGAAGGAGGGAGCGGAGCCAATGTGCCCCCACAATTATCTCTACTGCACATGAACCTTACGAAGAAGAACGCATGAGGAAAATCCCCAACAACTTCCCCTTCCATTCCTTCCTCTTCCATAGCTTCCTCCCCGTCTTCGCTCATTCCACTCCCATTTCCAGACATCTTTTCTGCTTCTGCTTCTTCCCCCTCATCATCATCATCATCCCAATTAGCCTCCACATTGCAGCGGTCACAGTTACACACGAATCCATAGTCCTCCTTCAACCGTCTTTGCCTCTCCGAATACTTGAGGTTAACAGGGAAGTAACTCAAACACACTTCCCGGCCCTCTGTGATGTCATGGAGAGCCCTAACTATGAAGTCTGTATTGGTTCTTGAATTCAGATCGGCGTCTATGTAATCAAACCTGCAAGCATTTGGAAGGCAATTGTGGTTGAAGAAGGAGGCTCTCGGATAGATGCCGTAGGCCCTCACAGATCTATCCTTTTCGGGATGAAAAGGCTCCATCAATCCAAAACCGTTTATACCGTCTATAGCCAGAAGAGTTGCAGTCAGCTCCATGGAGAATCCGAACTCGGGGGCAGGACTAGGGCAGAGGGAAGACATCAGAGAATGGAGGAATCTAGCATCGTCTGCGGAAATTGAAGAAGGATTACCTTGAAGGGAGAGGAGAATTCGGAAATCTGAAGGAGAAATTGCAGCGAGGTTGTAGGCGGCAAGGAGATAACGAGACAAGACTTGGCGCTCGTGGCTTTGTGCTACGAGGGGAGAAGAAGAGCAGTCCCGGAGACGGCGAAGAGACTGGCAGATCCAAGGGGAATGAGAAGAAGATCCGGCGACGGATTGACAGCCGGAGCTGCAGAAGGCGGCGGAGCAAGCCGGACAAGAAGGCGGAAGCGGCAGGGAGGCGATCGATCTGAAGCAATTGGAACAGTAGATGTTGTTGCTCCGATGGTGCGGTCCTGAGGCCGGGAAGAAAGGGAAAGCAGAGTAGAGAAGAAGAGGGGAGTCTCTGAGGACGATCTCCCCGGCTCTTAACGGGGCCGACGCCACAATCGATCTGCCTTTCCCTTCTATCTCTATGACACTCAATTTTTGAGCAGGAGAAGATGACGGAGATACCGTATCAATACCGGCCATATTCGCCGGTGAACTGGCGCCGGTCACCGTTGTTTGATCGGTACTGTAAAATTGCCGGCCGAGCGCGGTTAGGGTTTTGATTTTTGAACTATCCCTTAAGGGGTTTTCAACTCAATGAGTCAATGAGTCAATGATTTTCATTTCCGCTTAGTAAGAAATTTTTCAGGAATAAAAAAAGAGAAATGCTGTAATCACAATTCACAAATACGGAGTAACAAAATTCATAAATAAATTATTTCTGAATACAGATTTTTACTTTTTAATTATTTGAGATTATTTGTTTATTAATAAGATGTATAAATTGTAAGCTTGTGAATTTTATGAGCATTTAATTTGTGACTTAAGTATTTCTTATAAAAAAATAATTTTGTCATTAAAAAAATTCAATCATTACAAAATAAAGTGTAGTTTTGTCAATTTTCTTTATTAAAAAATGTCTATTATGTCAATTTTAATTTAAAAATGTCTAAACAAATTTAGTGCATTAAATTTAGGTTGTTCGATAAAAAATTATAAAATACTGAATGCATTCATATCATCATATGTGACAATCAAAATTAAACCATGTATGCTCGTGATTTAAATAAAAAAAAATGAGTCAGAGAAAGTCCAACTAAAAAGAAACTTAAGTGTACCTACTATTTAGGCCATTTGGTATAGATCACATCATAACATAAATTACGTCATCCACACCCAATGACCTTATGATGCATTACAGAAATGCTCATATGTTATCCTCCAACTAGGGCGAGCGCATCGGTCGGGACAGTCAGAGATTAGTCGTGCCTGTGAACTGAAATGATCGGAAAAACAACACTATCTTACTTCATCTCCGGGGGGGGGGGGGGGGTGCCCNCAACCCATGGGTTGCCTTGCAAAAACACGCATTAAGCATTGAGAGTATTTGGAGATACCTTTGACACCCACTAGAGAAACACACCATATGCTATGCTATTTATGTGGTGAAATTGACCTTCACTCTACTAAAGATGTGGGGAGAATGTTTCCCAATTTAAAACTAGCAAATTATAAAGACAATAAATTGAACAATAAACTCCACAACTAAAGAAACAGTGTTGCATGAACACATAAATTGTCATAACCCCAATTTGGTGTATAACAGGGGTTGGGGTAGGTAGCATTATGTTATATATATATATTCCATACAAACAGCTCTCATTCCAATCTCATCTCAAAATTGTCATTTCTGTCGCAGCTATTCATCATGGTAAAGATACAAGCCAAGTCCAAACCGAGCACAAGCTCTGCAAAACGCAATCTCCTCAGCTACAGCAACCGGATCCCCAACGCTCTCATCCTCAGATGATACTGTCCCGGTCGACTCGCGGTATGCCTTCACAATTTAGATTGCCATGATTACTTATATACTAACCCCAAACATTTGGACTTGCGTAAAACGGGTAAAATGGTCACCAGAAATTGATATTAAATTGTTTGAATAAAATTGGTTTGTGTACACATTGACCGATATGAGATTGTAAGAAACTAGAAACATACTGTGGATTTGTGTAAGACGACTTAAGTGGTTATTGGTTACAAGAATTAGAGAATAGATGGGTTGCATAACATCAGTTTGTGTACAATTTGACCAATGTGAGATCATAAGAAACTAGAGCACAGATGTGGAGATCATGTTAGTGTTACATTACCTTAGATACAACATATATATGACCAGTGCAGGTAAAGAAATGTTAGACTAAATGAATTTTAAGATCATCGTAAACAGTTCGGTTTGTGGAACGTGATATTACTTATTTAGTCAAATTGACAGGATGCTTCTTTAGTTCATAGACATAGGGTGGGAAGACCAGCAAATAGAGCAATCCCATGTTAAAATGTGTTCTGCTGGAGTTATTACAAAAAATAAATTATGCATTATACTTGGGCGAAAAGTGCACTTTTGTTCCCTCTCTACTTTCAAGTAGGGGCAAGGTCTGCGTAGACTGACCCGTACACTTACCCTCCCCAGACCCTACTTTCATGGGATTATATTGAGTTGTTGTTGTTGATATAGCAGATTGCATATACCCGATTCATTCTCCCCAACTCTAATAGAATGGCACAAACTAACCCTGTTGGGCTAAAAAAATTATCCATGTCAATTTTCAACTGTTATCATTTCCATCATCAGCACCTTAACATCATCATCAAGATCGGAACCTTAAAGTAAATCACTTTAATTAACACCATCTCCATTCAACAAAAATTATGGCCTTCATTTTAAAAAAGAAATAAAACCTTGGATGTTTACTTAAGTCACTATGTAACCAGGTAACAAACTTACTTTAGTAGCACAAATAGTCCTTATACCATTGTTGATGAATGTAAAAATATAATTATACTGTGAAACTGCTTAATAACTCGACTAAAACAGACTCCAATAACTTCTCATGCTCAAGTATCATAGAAGAATAGCATACCTCTCCATCTGATCCTAATACCGTGACACGGTAAACGACAGTCACCCTTCCATTCTCAGAGAAAATAACATCCCTAATTTCTCCACACCAGCCTGCAATAAGATGTATAACAACAAGCCTGTGGCTATCAATGAGAGCTTTAGAGAAGAAGAAACATTCAAACAGGTACTAAAAGAGCAGCCTATTATACTTGATGTAGTTGTCTTTGTTTTTTTCATTCTTTAATTCGATCAGACTTGAAAACTAATGAAACTATCCATGTGTTGGAACATAGAAATCAATGGTTTGCCAATGTAATCATGTTAACGTCTGAAACCAGCAAACTTTATATAAGTGTGACCTAATAAAGAGCTAATAAGGTAACAAAATCTCAAGAAAAAAGCACAAAGGAAAAACTAAGTTATTGAAAAGAGAGGCAGCAGAAAACTACTTTTTTTAAGTAAGAAAGAGTTCTCAATTGTTCAAGAGTGACACCAGTTAAAGAACGAAAATATTTTAGGTTGCTTAATACTTAATATTTCATTAACTGACACAGAAAAATTGCTATGATAACGAAAGTGTGATACAGTAAGCTATGTTCAAATGACTCTAGCACAGCACCCCAAAACATGCCCAAATCAAAGCATAAAACAGGTCTTATGTTACTGACAAGTGACTAGGTTGGGGTTCAAGGTGTGTGTGGATGTGAAACCATGCTAGGGAAGCTTTGAACATCCAACCCTAGTAAATTTAGCCTCACCTATAAGGTATATTATGAGGCGTAGTATTATTTTTTACGATTATTGCTTTAGTACTGTAATGAAATGCATTTTGTTAAGGTAGTAAATAGCAGACATAACAAATGAATGGAATTCCACTCTAGATCTGCAAATAGAAAAGAGCATATTAGTGCAGAGGCATGATGCATAATTGGCACCTGGAGCGTAGAAGCTTAACATGCGATTGGCATGGTACCTGCATAGAAATTAGAAACAAATGAAATTCCACAGTTAGAGGATTATATCAAATAACAATCCAGGCTCAATTCACACAAAGAAGATAGCAGAAATACCAAAGGGAGGAACTAAATTAATCCATACCAAGGAATGAATGTGGAATGAGGATCGTTATTCCCGTGATCCTTGATGATGTTATCAGGGATCCTCTTATTAAGGTCACGGAGGATCTCTGCAAGAGGGCGAGTAAGGCAGGAAGACGGCTTGTCCATAGGCACCATGTAATTCGAGTTAGGTACAGAACCGGAAGAAGACGGAGCCGCCTTCTTACTAGCTGCGCCTTCCCCGGCGCCGCCGCTACTGCTCCGTTCCACCGCTGCTGAGACTCGAAATGTCAAGGCTCTCCAGGCACGGGAGCTCCTGGTGGCAGTTCTGCTGAAATGGAATCCCGACGGCCTTGCCTGCGGATTTGGACACCCTAACGGCGGTGCGCAGAACTCCACCGCCGGAAGCTTCCAGTTCGAGCAGCGAGAGACCATTGCGATACTGAGTTGTGATCGAGTTCAGATGGATCTCCCTGCTGAGAAAAGTTGGATTGCGGTAGACTTTGGATGAAAGAACTCAGATTTTGGCTTGTAGTCCAATGTTAGTCTTGTAGACGATGGTTAGGTGAGAACTCAGACATCCGTTTGCTAGGGTGGATAGGTGATAAATTATCCATAGTCCATCAAAAACTAAATTTTACGGAGTATATATTTATTGGGGTCATTTCCCTGCATATGTAAAATGGCTGCTTTAGATTACTTTATATGTAAACAGAAAACGCACTTTCCCTTAAAATGTAAATCAGAGTAGCTTACTCCGTATAATATTTGGTGAAACGGAGTAGCCAACTCCGTTCCGAATTATTATTTAATGGAAACGGAGTAGCTAACTCCGTCCCTCTTTATTAAATCAATTTTTTTCTTAACTTGTCAACTTCTTTCCTCATTTTTTTAAATCAATTTTTTTTGTTTATTTCTCATAATTGAAAAAACAAAAAAACTATCATAAAAATCAGCAATTTAATTACATATAATGAAACAAATAATCTACTAATAATAAAATTCATAAATAAAATAAATATTTATTGACTAAATAATGCACCATACACTGAAATTAAAATAAGATGTAAATCTCATCAAATTTATTGATCAAGTATATATAATTTATTCATAAAAATAAGGTTACAAAACAAGGTGAATTCCCTACCAGTGTAATTACCTTGCACCTCATTCCTTTAGTTATTTTAACTCCACTTTTATAAACTTTTTTAACAAATTAACTCCACTTTTATAAACTTTTTTTAAAATTTTTCTAACTTTATTTTATAAAAATATTGTATTATAAAATTTTTAATTTTTTAGTTTCTGAATGAAACCAATTTTACTTTAGAAGTTTTAAATTTTTATTGCATTGGGGGTTGTAAACACAACTAGCTCTCCAATAACGACTCCTTTCCGCATATGTGCGAAAGTGTCTATGCTCCACAATGTTGCGTAAGGACACGGCTTGTTGTAATCTTTGGAATTTAGTGTTATTATTCGGAAGGTGGGTGTGACTATTATTATACGTGAAAACCCCCTAAATAGGAGTAAAAGATATGTCATATCCCAAACTAGGATCTCAAACTTAAACTCCCCTAAATAGGTGTAATTATTCTAATCTCTATTAAACCAGGCTTTCACCCCTTTCGGATCAAATGCTATCATGCTCCTTTTACTCCTAGTTTGTTCCTTCTCCCTTATTGTTCGGTAGGTGGAAGTGAGTATTATTTCAACATAACACATCATAAACAAATAAATTATCAAACCAAACATTTCAACATAAACACATATCTGAACAAACTTTTTAAAACCTCGAAACATTAAGTACCCAATACAATATATTAAACATAAGAAAACAACTAAAGATAGTGGCTACCAGTACCACATTGTGTTCCACGTCGATTACGTCGTGAACGAAGACCCTGCTCTCCTTCACCCTCCACATCTAGACTATGATCTGTTAGTTGCTTAGGAATAATGGCAGACATCCTAATCATACTAGACGTAATATCAGATGTTTAAGGCCTAAATCCCATCATGTCCTCACAAATCTGAATCCACTGATCTCTGGATCGGCCAATCATCCCTGCCAATGGATTGCCATCTACGGGCAATCCAAGCAAAACTTCTACATCCTGCAAAGTAATTCCAACCTCTCCAAAGGGAAGATGGAATGAATGGGTCTCAGGTCTCCATCTCTCTACTAGAGAAGTGATCAAAGCCCGGTCTATTAACAATAAGAGTCCTCATATACAAACTAGTACAAGTCCTCTGACACTTTAATACTTTATTAATTAGCATATTCTTCATCCTCCCAAAACGCATCACACCTATGGTCTCCCGCTTCAAGTACTACAACATCTCGTAAAATGGGTCCTAGATGTACATCCATTTGCTTCAAGGATTACAACATAAAAATATATTCAATTAATAAAAATATAACAAGACAATTATATAATCCAAAAAAAATCATGAAATAACCACTTCTACGTACAATCTATGACTAAATAAATATTTTACAATCTTAAATTTATTAAATTAAACTATATATTTGTCAAGATTTTTACAAAATTCTAAATCTTGTATAGACCAACTACAACATCATTGGAACAAATTTAACAAAAAAAAAATTCATGATAACTTCAAGCACAAAATTCTAAATCTTGTATAAACAACATCATTGAGACAAATTTAACAAAACAATAAAACCAAATACCTACGCACAAATTCAAAATCTTGTATACACATATCATTGAGACAAATTTAAAAAAAAATAAAGGGAAATAAAATCAAATACTCCGGTCACTTTGGGGACTGCCTCCTGCGTTTTCTCCTCCTCTCCGTCTTCGTCCCTCGTCCTCCTTTCCGGTAAGTTTCTTCTCTCTCAATTTTTTTTGGCCAAGATAAGATGGTAAAGGAGTGGATGGGGAGGATTTGCAATGATTGAATACGAACGGAGTAGGCTACTCCGTGTAGGAAATTAATGCACGCTGAACGGAGTAGCCAGCTCCGTTTTAATGAAAATGTCGAACTTAAACGGAGTAGCGAACTCCGTGTTGCACTCCAAGGAAAAAAACTTCTGACCTACCCTACCAGGAATGCGATTTTATATTTTTACATATATTGGTAATTTGCTCTATTTATTGATCACTACTCTTTTGACACTAGCCAACCATATCACTAGCAATGTCACTACATTTTTGGAATAGCTTTAGTGCATAATAGCTACACATTTGGAGGGGATTTAGAGTGAGACTTGGGTGAAGGGCTTAGGGATGATTTAGGGGGTAGGAACCATAAAAAATGCACTCATATACCTTGCTATTTTAAATACTAATATTTAATCTAGTGCTTCATAAGAAAAGAAATCTTCATGAATAAAAGTATAAAAGTATAAAAATACCAAAATAAAAGTCTTAAATTTTATAAAACCAAAATATGAGTTTAATGGAAGCGCGGTGTAGGAGTGCGCGCTGGCGGTGTAAAGAAAAAATGATGATAGTGTAATTTATCAGTATGATTTAATATATCAATTAATCATTGGCGATCCGCGGCGACACTCTGGTAGCCGGCGACGACGGATGACAATGTGGTGATAATATTGTGGCAGTTATAATGTGACGATGTAGTAAGTGTGACAATGTAAAATGACAGTGTAAACTCCTATTTGGACTTAAAAGACTTGTGACTTCTATTTTGGTATTTTCATACTCATTATGTTTTTTACTCTTATCTAGAGAGTTCTCCCTCATGATTCTTACATATTACTCCCACGATTGAAAATATTCTTCTCATTCGACTTTTCACAGTATCCAAGATTGCACTTTGACCACTAACATCTTTATTCACATATAGATAGGTTTTATAAAAATTTAATACGGAGTATTTGAAAACTATGTTTCAATAGAATTATATTGATATTAAATTTATATCATAATACAATATATTTTTTCTATATACCGTAGTCAAAGCTTACAAACTTTGACCAAAAAAAGTCAAATGGAAGAACATTTCTAGACGGAGGGAGTATTATATTCTAAATCTGTTAATCTATCACATATTGATAACATTATATTTTGAATAAAAATATAATTTTTATTCTATTTTTCTCATAAATATTAGAAAACTTTTTATTAATTTTTTTTTAGAAAATATTATTTTTTAGAAAATTTATTAGAAAATATTATAATAAATATTAGAAAATTAAAATAAAAAATTATTTTTTTTTCTAAGACATGTATTAGAAAATTTCCTAATAAATATTAGAAAATACAATTTTTTATTTTAATTTTCCAATCAACCAATCAATTAGTTGATACGAGAAAATCAGTTCAGCCCAGGCGTTGGTGTGAAGCCATGAGTGGGCCTGAAGTCCAGGCGGAGGACTGGTCGTGGGCTTCGTCAGCCCATTCATCAGCTCTTATTTCGTCAGCATGTGCGTAAGTCCAGGCGTGGGCCTGAGGTCTAGGCGAGAGCCTGTCCGGGGCCTGGATTGTTTTTCGGCCCAAAACATCATTTTTCACCATTTTATTCGATTCTTTTTTCTTCAAGCCCAATTCCATCTCTTTTTTTGGTTTGTGATCTTTATTTTGAAATAATTTTCTTCAAGTTTGACCTCAATTCTCTTGATGTTATGCATTTTCTTACTTGCACCCTCTTTTGTACAACTTTTGACTCGTTTTTTATTCTTCTTACAAAAAGACATAATTTTTGTGTAATTTAACAATTATAAACAAAAACTTATAAAAATAATTGAGAAGTTGTCTTGGTTGTTCCAAAATTGGACAATAACCATTAAATACGGAGAACATAAATACGTACAAAACAGACTTATCACTAAACCTAGGACCTATGTAAAATTACACTTTCAATTATCTTCAATTTAACACTAACATGGCGGAATGTAATACAAAGAACTATCTATAGAACGACATCGCTAAACGAAGAATCACAAACGTAATATCTGGTGATAGAGAATAAAATATGAAAAACTTTTAGTATTTAAAGAGCATTTGTAAAGTGCATTCTATTTGAAGTAACGACTTAATTAGTGATAAGTGTGAGTGGCGGTAATAGTGGGAGTTGGTGGCGGGGTTGGTCAATAGTGGAGAAAATTCTCAAATTTTTATATCTTCCAAAGTTGAGAGATATCAAAATCGTCCATTTTAAGAGTTTGTAATATCTAAAAACATCAAATCTGAATTTTTTATATCTCACTAAATAACAACAAAAATCATGATATCATGAGATTTCAGAATTCATATTTTCTACACTTATCAATCAGACCATAATTTTTTTATTCTGAAAGTCGATTTGGCTATTTATGATAAATAAATATTTTAAAAAATTATTTAAAAAATCATTATATTAAAATTTCTATAAGTTTTCAAATAATTATTTAAGAGATTGTTCTTGTGGGTTGAAAACAAGAAATAGAAGTTGGAAAAAACTATAAGTTGGAAACACTGAATCGAGTTAGAAAAGACAAGAATGAGTTTAGGAAACTCAAAAGAATTCTAAATATTAGAATCAGTTGGAAAAAATTAGAAAAAAATTGGAATAACCAAGAATGACTTAGAAAAAATGAAAGGTGTTTAAATAAATATTTTGTTTTAAATTTTTCATGTTTTTATGA